GGGAGTGTCAGAGACAGTGCGATTGACACAGGACAGAGCGGAGTTTAGGGCTGTTGTACATAGGGTCGCTATGAGTCGCAAGCGACTCGACGGCATACAACAACAACAACAACAACAACAACAACACAGGCCTAGGTCTGAATCAGGGAACTCTGGTGGCCAAGTGGTAAGAAACTGTGCTACAGTCTTAAAGGCACATGGTTCAAACTCACCAGTTGCTCTGCAGGAGAAGAATGGGCGGTCTCCTCCTGTGTGATTTATAGCCTCAGAAAACATGTTCAAGGATCAACTATGGGTTGGCTATAACTCGATGGCGCACAGCAACAAGGGGGACTGAGTCAGTAGACCTTTTTTTATTGTTTTTGTCAAGTGCCATCGAGTCAAGTATGACTTAGAGTGACCCTATGGACAATAGGTCTTAACTCTGTCCTATCTTGCATCATCCTTAGCATCCTTGAAACATTTGAGTCCTTTGCCACAGACACTGTATAAATCCATTGTGGTGCAGATCTTCCTCTTTTTCACCGACCTTACCAAGCATGCTGTCCCTTTCCAAGGAATAGTCTCTCCTAATAACATGTCCAGAATATGTGAGACAAAGCATCACATCTTTGCTTCCAAGGAATATTCTAGTTGTACTTTCTCCAACACATACTTGTTTGTTCTTTTGGCAGTCCATGGAATATTTAGCACTCTTCTCAAATGTCACAACTCAACTGCATCAATTCTTGTCTTGTCATTCTTATTCATTGTCCAGCTCTCAGATGCAGGGTAGGTGATTGGAAAGACTGTGGCTTGAATCAGGCACACCTTAGTCTTTAAACAGACATCATTGCTCTTCAGAAGTTTGGAGAGATCTCTGACAGCAGACTTTCCTAATGCTGTATGTCTCCAGATCTCCTGAATGCTTGTATCAAGGGTCTTGACTGTGGATCCACGAAAGATGGAATCATTGACAATTTCAATCTTTTCTCCATCTCTCATGATGTTGCCTGTTGTTCCAGTGGTGAGGATTTTTGTTGTCTTGATGTTGAGATGTAATCCATATTAAAGGCTGCAGTCACTGATCCTCCAATAAGTAATTCAGGTTCTTCTCACTTTTCAGCAAGCAAGGTTGTTCCATCTGCGTAATGCAGTTTGTTGGTAAGCATTCCTCCAATCCTGATGCCATACTTTTCTTCATAAACTCCAGCTTCTTGAATGATTTGCTCAGCATACAGATTGAATAGATATGGAGAGAGGATACAGCCCCGATACACACCTTTCCCAATTTTAAACCATGTCGTGTTCCCTTGCTCTTTTGGACAACAGCTTTGTTAGCTAGGTATAGATTTCATATAAGCATAATTAAGTGTTTTAGAGCTCTCATTCTTCTCAAGGTTAGCCACAGTTTATTATGATCCACATAGTTGAATGTCTTTGCATAGTCAATTAAACACAAATAGACAATCTTCTGATATTCTCTGCTTTTGACCAATATCCATCTGGCATCACAACATCATCTCTGGTGCCACAGACTTATAAATTCAGCTTGAACTTCTGGCAGTTTTCTGTCAATGTACTTTTCTAACCATTTTTGTATCATCTTCAATAGTATTTTGTTTGCAAGTAATAGTAATGATATTGTTAAATCATTTCTACCTTCTGTTGGATCACCATTCTTGAAAATGAGAACATATATGGTTCTCTTCCAGTTAGTTGGCCAGGTAGTTGTCTTCAGCTTCCCTGGCACTGACTGGTGAGCATGTCCAGGGCTGCCTCTGTTATTTGGAACATGGTCATTGGTATGCCATTGATTCCTGGGGCCTTATTATTTGTCAATGCCTTCAATGCAGCTTGAACATCATCCTTCATCACTACTGGCTTTTTGTCATATGGTACCCTTCTTGAAATATTTCTTAATATTCCTGAAGTGTTAACCAATTCTTCCTTTTAAAAATTTTATTTTAATACAAGTTTACAGAGACTTTGGATTTCCATTCATTCATTCTTTTTTCCCCCCTCTACTTTTTCTTTTTTAATTATTATTTAAATTTATTATTAATTTCAGTAAAAATTTACAGAGACTTTGGATTTCCATTCATTCATTGTTGCACTTTTCTCCCCTCCCAACCCTCCTCCCTAGTATACTACCCTCTTGGAAAAGTAAAAGAAAAATTCTCTCTTTGTTTTACAAACCCACCTCCAGGTCAACTCCAACATGTAGCCTTTGCTCTAGACTACTGTCATGACAAAAATATCTAATCACATATCCCTTTTAAACAGTTTTCTCCCTTATCTGTTTCAATGCAGTATACATTATTGAACCCATCTTTCTCAGTCTCCCCCCAAACCCGATGTCAGTCCTGTTTTACAACAGTGGCACCATGCAGTATTTGTCCTTTTTGACTGAGATACTTCACTCAGCATAATGTCCTCCAGGGTCACCCATTTTGAATAATATTGCATGAGTTCCTTGTTTTTCAATGCAGCGTAGTATTCCATTATGTGACTAGACCACAGCTTCTCTATCCATTCATTTGTTGATGGGCACTTAGGCTGTTTCCAACTCCTTGCTATTGTGAACAAAGCCACAATAAACATGGGTGTGCATATATCTGCTTGGATGTCAGTTGTGGTCTCTTTGGGGTATATTCCCAGTAGTGGAATTGCTGGGTCAAATGGTACCTCTGTTTGTAACTTTTTGAGAAAGCGCCATACCGCCTTCCACAGTGGTTGCACCACTATTCATTCATTCTTGCACACTTTCTTCCCTGCCCATCCCTCCTCCCCCAGTTCACTTTTCCCTTTGAAAAGTTAAAAAAAAATTAAAAAATTAATTCTTTGTTATACAATCCCCTCCACCACTTAATCTACTCCACTATGCAGGTTTCATTCTGGACTCTTGTCATGACAATAATACCTAATCATATATTCCTCCTAAACAGTTCTCTCCCTCATTTGTTTCAATGCAGTATATATTATTTATCCCCTTTTTTGTACAATGACTTCCTGTATTCCTCCGCCTTCTTCTGATGTATTCCTGGGTCAAAAGGCTTTTGTCATTGCATCTCTCATTGCATTTTGAGGTTTGAATTTGATTTTGAGTTTGAGAAATGCAGAATCAATTCTTCCTTTTTTATTCTTCAACTCCAGCTCTTTACACCTTCCATTATAATAAGACTGCAGACACTGGGGCTGGACTGGCTTCAGATCTCAGCATTTTCACTTAAGAGTTGTGTGACTGTGGGTAAGTTAAAAATCTGAGTGTTTTTTTCCACTCATTTATGGTAAGTAAGCAAATGAGTGGATAAGTATTTATTTATATATTATACATATAATATATATCATAAATGATATTAGGGAGCTCTTGTGGGTCTAGTGGTAAGAAGCTATACTGCCAAAGGGTATGTGCTTTGAATCCACCAGCTGCTCCACAGGAGAGAGACAAGTTAATCTTACATCTGCCTTACAGTTTCTGAAAACCCCCTGAGGGGTCAGCTATGAGTCAGTTCTGATTCAATGACCATAGTTGAGCTTTATGTATAATGTTATATCTCTGTAGGTTAATCTCTTTACACACACACTCACTCACACACTCTGAAGTCTTGCCATTTACATTTTTTCTACATGTTCAGTCCGTGCCATTATGTCCATCATGCAGTACAACCATCCTCCAATTTCTCCATTATCCTTTAACAGAAACTGTAACCCCTAGACATTGATTCTTCTTCCTTCCTTCCTCCTGTTTCTCTTCCATCTTCCTCCTGTCTTCATTCTCAATGATCAAAATTTCAGTGTCCACCTTTTAAAGATTTTTATTTTTTGTGAGAAGTAAGCAATTTAATATACATTAAGCATTTAGTCCAAAGCCAGGCTTTTGGGGACTTTTTGCAGCTATTAGTTTTTATTATTATGGTATTTCTCCCAGATCTGCACATTTTGAGCTAAGTCATTCTTTAAAACAGTTGTTAGTATTCTAAAGTGTAGAATTATCATAATTTACTAAGAAAAAAAATTGTGATGCCAATTCTGATACCCTGACACTGTGAAATATGCTCTTAGTCCGGTTGAAGAATGAAGGGGGGAGTCGGAAGGGAGGGGAGGGGAGGGAAGAGTGTCTCTGTGAGATACGTGGTTAGAGTAAGAAATATGAACTTCTGCCAAAGGATGCATTTGCCAGCATTTTCTTAATGCTGCTTCAGAGATTATTGGCTGTTCTAAGCGGTGCCTTCAATTTGGAGTTTGATATACTAGTGCACAGTTGCACGATTATTTATGATTTCATTTTACTGCAGTAAACTTTATACTATCAGCATTTAAGGAATCTCATTCACATCAGTTACCAAGTTCTGAGTAGCTTCTCATATATTACTTTCCAGTACGTCTATTAATCTCCTTAAGCAGTGCTTGATATTTACTTTGCAGTTTTCCTTTTGATGGCCCTTTTGTGTTGGAAAAAAACCCAAAACAATAAAATCCTTCATTGCCTTGAGTCTGAGCTCAAAACTGACCCTGCCGGGAGTTTTCAGAGGCGATAAATCTCGGGGTGGGGGTGGATTGCCTATCTTTCTCCCCTGGAGCATCTGGTGGATTCAAAGTGCCAAAGTGGTACTGACTTTGGGTTAGCAGCACAATTCCCTACAGACTGTGCCACCAGAACTCCCTCTGGTGTGAGGAGTTGTTGTTGTTGGGTGCTGTCAAGTCAACTACAGCCCGTAGCGACTCTGTGAACAACAGAGCTGAACCTTGCTCTGTCCTGCACCATCTTCCGCATCTCTACCGTGCTGGAGCCCCATGGTTACACTTCACTGCAGTTCCCAGCCATCCTCCCAGGCTTCATTGGAGCTCGTACCCTGTGAAGCATGGCTTCTGTAAACTGGTGTGCAACAACCTCACTTTTACTTTCTTTCCATTTAAAAATGTGGTGAATTAAGTCGTTGAATGTTACACTGTAACATCCTGGAAGAAAAAAAATTCAAATGCAGTAGATGCCAGGCTGTTTATTTGCTGCCATGTCCCTGGGCTCCTAGCTGTCCAGGCACCACCGACCCCTGGTTCCCAGTGTAAGCATCAGGCAGAAGGCATTCTCTGACAATGGAGCCTGCTTGACAGCAAAAGAGCAGGTGGTAAGAGCCAAGGAGTAAACATTGGGAGCAGACTGCCTTTGGGAGCAGCCATCTGTCAATTAGAACTGGCCACCACCTATCACCATTGAGTGGGTGCCAACTCAATGCTCCTGTTCATCAGGTTGCAAAGGATGCAAAAAAATCTTTAGGGGAGGAGACTGTCCCTCTTTCTCTCTCAGAGCAGCTGCTGGATAGAAGCGGAGAAGCTTTTGGTTAATAAGTAACCTGACATGTTATGTCACCAGGGCCGCTCATAAGGAACTCAGCTTTTTCACCCTTCATGAAAGGGTAACATTGAGGGGTTTTTAGACTGTCTTTCTGGTTTCCTCTGTAGGAGCAAGCCCTATTTACTTATGGTGGTCACGGGCTTCATAATGACTCCTTCACTGACTTTGTTCCCTTCCCTTCCCTCCTAGTGTCACCTACAGAAATAGCCACTACTTCTGAGTCTGTCAAAGTTTGAATCCACTGGCTGCTCTGTGGGAGGTGAATGGGCAATCTCCTGTGTGATTAACTGCCTCTGAAAACCCGCTAGACAGTCAGCTGTGGGTTGGTTCTGACTATAGTTGTACACTGTCTAGTCAGATTGACTGGCACAGGAGGATATTGCCCCTTCTCTAGTGGATCTGGTGGATTTCAACCCCCGGCCTTCGGGATTGCAGTGCAGCTTCTTGCCACTAGGCCACCAGAGCTCCCTCCACCAAGACATTTTACTGTTATAAGGATGGCTTTTCACTGCTACTGATTGGAAAATTTTTGTTCTCTTTCTCTTTCAAAGGCTTTTCAGATGTGAACTCTTGCCACCTGCGTTTCCGATGGTCTGGGGACACTCCTTCAGATCTCCTGAGAAAATTTAGAAACTATGAAATATGAAGCATCCCTGCCTCAAGGATGAAAGGGAGAGCAGGGCATCCTGTAAGTTGCCAGCCCTCAGTCTTGTTCAGCCTAAACATTTCACGTGTGTGTGTGTCCTGTTTGTGAATTGCTGAGTACCAATTGATCCTTCCTCCATTCATTAAAGAGCTTACAATGTATTTTTTCTTTAAATGAGAAAACTTTCAGAAGAGTGCTTTCTTTCAATATTGCATATTTTAAAAATTGTATGTTGGTTTGCTTACAAAGTCCATATATACTGTGTTTCACACTATTCTTCATTCACATATTTTAAAGCTAAAAAAACACCCACAGTAAACAGACCAACAAAAACCTCTTTGATTCTCAGTGGATTGTACTATCTGTGTTTTCCTGTCAATGTTATTTATTGAAATCTGTTAAAAAATTGTCTCTGTGTTTAAATATTTCTTTGATAAAGTAAAATCTCTGCTAATGCTGTGTGTACAAGTAGTTGTTTTTCTCTTGACTGAAAATGAAATGTGGCATTACTTGTCTCAATCCTGTAAATAAAGAAATTAATCAAAGTTCATAATGAGTTTATCACTCAATTATATATTTTAAAAGTTTTTATTTTATATTGGTTTGCCTACAAAGTTTCATATTATCTTCTTTCACAATGTGTTTCATACAATCACATTCAATTATATTTTAAAAAAACATTTGAATTGATATTTCTCTTTTAAATGTCATAATTACAAACTTGGTATATTTTTGCAGAAAATGTCCTACTTTAATTACAAAATAATAAATTGTAACTGAAAATGGGGCTGTTAGATAGCCTATCTTGTTTGATTTTTTTCTTTTAAAATTTTATTTTATTGTTGAAAATATATATAACAATATATACACAAAGTTAACCATTTTTACAAGTACAATTCAGTGACACTGATTACTATGACACTCATTAATTAATGAGTTGCACAACTGTTCTTACAATTCTTTCTGAGTTATTTTTCTTATTTACATGACCTCACTGTAGGCTGCAATTCTTTGTGGTCATGTGTCATCTATTCTTATTTTCAAGTTGGTAAACAAATGAATGAAAAACTAAGAAGAAAAAGGATTTTAGAGCAACGTTTTTTCCTAATCAGTAACAAAGTTTTCACTGGCCCTTAGCAAAGTAAGTAAAATAAGAACAAAATGTTATGGGGAAAACTATGAGTGATGCAAAGGGCTAAAGGAAGTCACTAATAGAAACACTGGAGGTTCGAGTCTACCCTGAGGCAATTTGAAGAAGAGAAATGATCTGCTTTTGAAAGATTAGTCACTGAAAACCCTATGGAGCAAAGTTACACACGTGGGTGACTACCAGGTTCTTAGGAGTCAGAACTGACTTGATGACAATTGGTTTGAAATGGTAAATTTATTCACTATAAAAGGTTACCCTTTATTCAGAAATTACATTCATCTTAACTTTGTGGCTTAAAGTGCTTCCTTTTATGGAATAGCAGATGAAGATTTTTTTTTCTTCTTAATGTAAGTCCCTCAACTTATTTGAAATTTTAATATTTTATCAAATCTAAAAGTGAGTGTCACTGATTTAAGGGATTACTTGTATTAGTATTTTACCACTTGAGGTAAATGTGGTTTGGTATTGTTCATTTTACATAAAAAATAAAAAAAAATTGCAAAACAACATAGTTCATGAAGCTAAAAAAAGGTACTTTTGAACCATAGAAATAGATTAAAGTCACAGCTGCTTATGAAAATGTCTGGCCCAGGTTAGAAACAAGTGACTTTGGATTCTTTTCTTTTTTTTACAGAAAACCAGACTGGTTTACAGTACTGGTGACTCTAATGATTTTTCCAGGGTGAACGCACACTCGTGGTCTACTCTTTTTTCATGTTAGACACTAGCTGTTTACAGAACTTAGCACTAATGCCTGTTGATTTTTCTGTCTCTTGATGCCTGATGCTTCCAAATATGAAATGAGAACTTCTTGTTACGTGGCATCAAGTCAACTTGTGTGATCATGACACTGTGAACATTGGATCTGAGCCCAGCCCTGTCCTGTGCCATCCTCATCATCTCTGACATACTTGAGCCCACTGTCACAGTCATTGTGTTAATCCACCTCGGTGAGCGTCTTACTCTCCTTTGCTGACCCTCAACCGTTCCAGGTATGATGTCCTTTTCCAAAGACTGGGCCCTCCTAACTACATGCCCAAAATATTTGAGATGACGCTTTACAATCCTTGCCTCCAAGGAGCACCTTGGATTCCTTTTGCCCAAAATACACTTGTTTGTCCTTTTGGCAGCCCATGGGAGTTCAGTATTCTTCACCAACACCACAATTCAAAGGCATTGATTCTTCCGTCATCCTTCACTGTCAATCAGAGTCATAGCAAGTAATCAAAAAGAACATGATTTGGATCAGGTGCACCTTACTCTTCAAACTGACATTGTTGCTTTTAAGCCCTTTGAAGAGATCACTGACAGCAGTCTTTCTCAATGTAGTGCATCTTTTGATTTCCTGGCTGGTATCAGGGTGTTAACTGTGGATCCAAGCAGGATTCAAGCAAGAAGAAGTCACTGACAATTTCTCTCTCTTCTCCATCTATCATGTTGTTGCCTTTTGGCCCAGTGGTTTTCCTGAGGCTGAGATGTAGCCCATATTGTAGTATTTGATCTTATGCAACAAGTGTTCCAAATCCTCTTCACTTTAAGCAAGCAATGCTGCATCATCTAAATAATGCAGGTTGTTGATGAGTCTCCAATCCTGATGCCCTATTCTTCATATAGTCCAGCTGCTGAAATGATTTGTTTTACAATAGACTGAATGTTGTTGTTGTGTAATGTTGAGTTGGAACCAATTAAAAGCTGACCCTCCAGTGAATTTTCAGAGGCAGCAAATGACACAGCAAGAGATTCCCCATCCTTCTTCCCCAGAGCAGTTGGTGGAATTGAAACATGTTCTACCATAGTCTCTTGGTCTAGGTCTAGGTTTCACACGAGCATGATTAAGGGTTCTGGGATTGCTATTCTTCCCAATGTCAGCCATGATTTGTTGCTAGATTGCTTAATGTCAGCCATAGTTCATTAATAATTTGAAATGAGACCCAATTCTCCTTTAATGGGAATGTAAGTCTTTAAAATCTTGGGTGAAGCAAACATACTTGACGACTTAAGGAAAGACTGGTAGTTCAAATCTATCCAGAGGTGCACAGGCCTGTTGATCTGCTTTCCAAAAGGTTTTGAAAACCCTATGGAGTAGTTTTTTTCTGCATGCATGTGGCTGACACCAGTCAGAGCTGATTCTACATCAGCCAACAGCAACAATATTCACGATGGGCATAGGGAGTTTTCTGATGAGTCAGGCTTTTTATACACGCAATTTATACACTTGCTTCCATTCAACTTAGCAACAGACTCTTTCTAGGTAAGCACTAAATATTGTCCAAAACTCAAGTACAATTTACAAAGTAAGAAGGAAAGTGGACAACCTTCCTTTGTTAATTTGCTTAGATTTCCAGTATGTGCAGTATGAACACTGTCGAATGTAAGTACTAGGACATATTTCCAAAGCTACCCCTTCATGGCATAGCAGACTGAGAGTGAAGAACTATTTTGCATAAAGACTGTTATTAAGCTCTTAAGTCATCTCTAAGTGGTGAACATAAATAGTTACTCTCATGTTTGGTAATGAATGGATGAAGTACGTATTCTTGAGAATGTGATTACATGATAAATGTTATAATAGCATTTACGTAGATGTAGAGTTTAATTCACGGTTACGCTCTCAAGGACTTAATAAGGTATATGAAAATCTATAATTTATAAGAAGTGTGTTACTGAGTTAAAAATACATAAGATGCTTAGGACTTGCTTGGTGTACAGCACGCACTGTTGGACTTCCTGTTTCTAGAACAAGCACATAGACCACAGCAATATGAATATTACAATAAAGGAAGCCATACAATTTTTTTGGTTTCCCAGCACATATACAAGTTAAGTTTACTCTATACTGTTGTGTCGTTATGTGCCATCGAGTGGCCTGAGACTCACAGTGACCCATGTACAACAGCTCTGAACCCTGCTCTATCCTGAGCCAACCTTATTGTCTCTGACATACTTATCCCCACTGAGTCAATCCATCTCATCCAGGGTCTTCCTCTCTTGCACTGTCCCTCTAAACATCTCAAGTATGATGTCCCTTTCTAAGGACTAATGTTTCCTTGCAACATACCTAAAGTATGTCAGAAGATGTTTCAGAACCCTTGCTCCAAGGAGCAGCCTGGTTTCACCCTCTCCAGAAAAAATCTGTTTGTTCTCCTAGTGGTCTATGATACATTATACTATACTGTAGCTTTATGCAATAGCATTATGAAAAAGCTCAAAATATTGCAGGAATTGCCAATACCTCACACAGAGACATAGAGAGAGCACATGCTGTTGGGCATATGATGCCAATAGATTTGTTGGACCCAGGGTTGCCGCAAACCCTCAAGTCACAAAACCCCACAGTATCCGCAATGCACAACAAAGAGAAGTGCAGCAAAACGAGGCATGCCTGTTGTTGTTATGTGTCGTTGAGTTGACTGTGACTCATAGAGACCCTATGCACTATTGCTCTGAAGCCTGCCCTGAGCCAGTCTCACTGCTTCTGACACACCTATCCCCATTACCCCAATTACTGTGTCAATCCATCTCATCCAGGGTCTCCCACTCCTGTCCTCATGGTATTATGTGATGTCTCAAACTCTGGTGGCTTAGAGGGTAAGAAGTGCTCCCTGCGCAATGACACACAGTTTGAATCTACCAGCGACTTCACAGACGAAAGATAAACAATTTACTGCATCTGAAAAACACGCTAGAGGGTAAGCACTGAGCTGCTTCTGACTCAATGGCAATGAGTGAAACATGGTATTCAGTAGGCGGAGTTGAGACTTTTCCTCTTTCCTTCTCCCACCCTCGTCACTCACTTTCCCACTTTGGAGGCTCTGTTTCATGCATCTTCCCTTAGCTGTCCTATACAAGG